GTTTCCTCAGTTTCTTAAAAAGAAGCGAAGCTCCACGAGCGTTCAAGATCTGGAGGAATTGTCCCTCGTAGAGCTTCTAGAGACAGAGGACGACCACACTTCTATGCCAGAATCGTCGAGCTCAGCAGCCGCGTCACTGCCTGGAGCTTAAGCCTACGTTAACAGGCTGCTGGTGAGGGCTAGAGACAATGCTAAGCTTCATAATGTCCGGCTCACCCCTGGCCTCACTTCTCACTCGTTTCGCCGCGGTGGGGTTATGCACGCAAATGACAGGACCGTTGCCGAAAACTGGATCATCGAACGTGGAGGCTGGCAGCTCGACCGTGTGAACAAAGCGTTTGGCTATATGCTTGGGACGACACAAGCAGATCAGCGGGTATCTCGAGTCTTGAGCGGGTGGAAACCTAAGGATGGGGCTCGTTTGCCTTCACTTGCAGCACTTGACACACCGGTCCTTCGTCGGGCACTCAAACTCCAGGCGCTGATATTCTCGAACACTCTGGGTTTTGCTGACGAAGCCCTCAACCTTGACGAAGACGTAGCCGAAGTCCTGACTGCCACACTTATCTTGCACTACCCTGATATGCTGCGCCTCTGTGAACGCAACCCATACGTCACGAAGATGCGAGAGGCAATGACTGCTCGCTCCGTCACCGAATCCGAGCTGCTAGCGTGGAGTATCACCGTCCGCCGTGCCTTCATACCACCTCTTGAGCCAAAACCGGCACCACCTGATAGAGAAGATCGTCCTGATTCTCTGTTGGAGCTGGTTCAGCACCAAACCAAGCAGATCGACGTGCTCATTCTGCAAAACAAACATCTGGAACAACGCTTGGTAGCAGTGGAAGGCCAGATCCGCTCGACAGCCAGTACGACAACGCAAGCAGCAACCACGATCGACCCATCTTCCGCAACAACACCTCCACAACCACCACAGCCTGAAGTCAAAGCAGCTCGATCGAAAAAGAAGAAAGCACAGTCGCTGGCAGCCACGTGGTTCGCTTGGTTTACGGCGGACCCTCGTGTATATGCCGCGCGATCTGTAAAAAAGGCAACGCTGTACGAGTTTAGACACACCGCAGGGTACATGATGCTTTTCTTACCGACTGGATTCGCACTGGATGCAGCGTCTCCAGCGTTCAAGAGCGAGGTGCTGGCCCTGGGTGAGAAGGCGCAAGAAAATGCGCTAGCATTCGTGAAAGAAAATGGGTCCTCAGCAGCTGCATCCGGTACGGCGCTGAAAGCTTTTCGTAAGCTTCATGAGGCCGGGAAGCTCGACGAGCATCTAGCCCAGTTCCATGACCGTGCTGAGCGCGGTGACGTGGTTGACCCTACTCCAACTGCTGCCTTACCAGAACTTATTCGCTTGAAGCGCCTTGGTGGTTAGTCTGTACAATAAAAACAAAAGAATATCACCCACAACCACGGACTACACAGCACCGATAGTAAACATCCGATAGACTTGAATTCATTTCGCGCGCTAAAACATTCACAATATATTACAGCATAGCTACAAGAACAAGTTATTAATAGATGACACATACCGGCTCAATTAATGATCTAGAACACACTTACCATATCTACGAGTAGTATAGAGCCCGAGGGAAACCGCTAGTACCACCGTTCTGTGATAATACACCTCCGGCAGCATACCGCCCGCCCTACCGGGTCATTTTACATCACAGCAACGGACTTGGGAAGCGGCAAGAGTGGGAGCGGCAGGCGGCGTCTCTTGGTCAGCCGTGCGGTGCGCTCGGGGGGTCGAAGGAGGGCTTGTCGCCGCAGTACAGCCGGCGTTCCGCGCGCCATCTTCTGTGCCGTCGTGGTGGCGATTGTGCTTGGAGAATGCCTGTGTGGCAGGGATTTTTTATTTTGAATCACGGCTAAGTTCGATTTTATTCCAGACGTTTATACCGGTACCGGTTGGAATCCCGGTCGGAGTCCGACCTTCCAAAATTCCATCCGTCCGACTCGGACGGTTGGAGTTTTTACGGTATGGTTGGTGGATTTAAACAGATTACGCAATTTTGTGGGTTCTACTCAAAAATTTCAGGGCCGATTGACATGCCTCCAGGCGCAAAAAATCGCTCCACTACCAAACAACCAATAAAAAAGCACAGATGAGAGTGGTTTTCTCGCTTTACATCATTGTTCAAGATGGAGTCGACGTCGCCAACGCAGACACCTCAAGGGCGAGTGCGAACGTCCCCGTACCCGGAACGACGCCGTAGTCCAGCGTCAACTGAGGTATACCAACCAGCATCATCTCACGTTTACCGGTTGGTCATGCAGCCCATTGTGAAGGAGACGGTAGGCGAGCGAGACAGCTCTGGTGACTCTCTTGACCCCTTTGTAGCAGGTGGAACTTCGTTCCAGGACATTCTGGAGAAAATATGGGCGGAATTCAGCCCTCATATTAAAGGGAGGGCAGTGAAGTCCGGTGGGGTTTGGACTGTCGAGCAAGCTGCGATTGACTCTTGGTCCAAGTTCATGGTGTTCAAGGTGAAAAAACACATCGTCGACAGCTCAAAATCCAACCAGGACTGGAACACTTGGCTTCAATCAATGCATGACAAGACTGCCACGCTTCTCATCTATAAATATGGCGTCAGTCTCGGGAGAAAACAAGATCGCCAAGCTTTTCAAAAGGAGTGCATTCTCCCAGCCGAGACTGACAGGGCCGGCGCAGCTGCTGAAGTCACACTTCGCGAGGTTGTGGGGCGCCTACAAGACTTTTGGAGCGCCACATACACAGGTGAAGCTGTGGTGTGGCGTATGTGGGCTACTGAGGTGGTTCGCAGTCAGGATCGTTCCACATGGGACGATAAAATACGTGCTCCACCACCTCCACATATTTTGCGACTCTTGCGGACTACTGATTCTCGTGTCCAAGAACACGTCAATGATCTTCACCGCTCGACACAAATTGCTCTCGACGTCGTGAACGCATCTATCGCTGGGTCAACAGAGTTACGTCGCGACTGGGAGATGTATGGTCGCCGGTTGGAGAGTTTTGAGACGATGTTGCAGGCTCGTAAGGTCCAAATTGAGTCGCTCCTCCATCACATGCCTCTACCAGACCCTGGAGAGTTGGTCGACCCGCTGCAGAACATGGAAAATCTTGAGGACTTTGAGCACCGATAATTCAGATAGTTTAAGCGAGCGTGCTATCATTCATTTGTTTTTTTCTTTTTAACTAAGCGTACGAAAGCCTAATGCATCCTCGTCCAATTCTTCTTCTTCCTCGGAAACGTCCTCCCAAAAATCTGGTACTGCGCGTGACTCTGTTGACAGCGGCCCCACAGGATTGAAAGTTCCATCGACCATCCAGCCGCAATGTTCAAACACCCGAGCCATATTAAAGTTCACAAAGCGTCGAAATGTGTCAACAATAAATGGCATTAAGTCACGATTCGTGGACTCCACGTAGTAGCGCTGAAAGGCTTTCTTGACGTAACCAAAGAGAAATTCGATGGGATTAAAGAACGGGCAATAGGCAGGTAGAAAAATCGGTACAATTCCGATACTTCTTAGATAATGCACAATTTCAGGGTGTCGATGGATGGATGCACCATCTAAAATCCAAACAGAATTAGTTCTAGGGTAAGGTCGAACACTGGCACGCTTAGAGTACGCAAAATCTTGACAACATCGAACAAACTCTAATCGGTCAAATGTTCCAACAGTGTCATAGTAGTCAATAATGCCATTGACACCAATAACGCAAGCATGGAGACTCTGGGTTTTCGCTGGAACTCACCCCGAATAGCCACCTTTTGACCTCGAAGTGCGTAGCCTCTCTTTCGCATTATTCCCCTGTTATCGAATGAAACTTCATCCAGAAAAACAACATTATAGTAGGTCCAGTTGATGTGACTCAGCTCCTCCACAAACCGAAAGATGTCTCGCTCTTTGATTTGAATGGCTCGGCGTTCCAACACTTTCCAAGTTAGCCCAAAATCGTGAATAATTCTCCACACGGATGTTTTGGAAATGGTGAGCTGAAAGTTCAAGCGAAATGCAGTTTGTGCCTCGTCCAGATATGCTAAAGGTCTCTGCTCAAAAAATACTCGAAGCCATGAGCGCTGTTCTACCGTAAATTTCCGGTCTGACTTTGACGTAGCGCGTTGGTAGGTCCCCGTAACTTCATACACACGAATCCAGTTTCCTATTGTCTGCTGTGTTTTGTTGTAGATGTGTGCCAGTTCCTTCCTGGAATAGCCAAGATAGTAATAGCCGTACAAGCAGTGGAAAACTGTGTTGGGACTAGCATGTTGCCGAGTAGCTGCTGCCTCCATCGTGCTAAAGAGTAACAAATGTTGTTTAGCAAATCGTTGACGTATCTACCAGCATCAAAACACAAGATTGACAATAGTACCAAGTGTACGGGTGCGTCCTTGGAGATTCAGGGCTGCAAGGAAAGGTGCTGCAAAAGAAGCATCCAGCAGTGCAGCAGTGCAGCAGTCCGGTTCGTTCCGCGTTAAACGGCAATCCTAATTGACCAATCAGAGCGCGCTGTTGATTTGGGCGCGATGCCCACGAATCGATCGAGAATTCCAAATATACTCGGAATCCACAATATAAGAAAAAATATCGAATTAGCAAATATTAAGCTGAAATCTAAAAATACCATTTTGTCTCCGAAGAAAATATTGGGTGATATTTTTCTTTTAATTGGCCTACAGGTGATATTTTCACAATATTAATTTCACCGATTTTGGAGTTACCACTAACTCTTGGTTACCATTAACCCCTGTTTCCGATGCTATGACTACCGAAGGGCTCATCTGTATTAGAATGCATGAAATACCTTTAGCTGTATTCGCACAAACCATTACTGGATTAGCAGCCAGTTCTTTTAATATTTTAATACTTAAAAAAGTGTGACTGTAAATTCTACTTCGAGGACCTGAATATTATAAATTGCTAATTACGCTACTTGGAAGCAGATCTGATTCCACTTGCACTCAGTATCTGAACCGCTCATTTCACAATTCGATCTGTCATGTTCGTCCATCGCATCTTGGCTGTCGCTGCCCGCACCCCGCGCTTCTCACTTGCTGGAGCACGTGCGCTCCACGTCGAAGCGTCTAAGGCTTCGATCACGGTGCGCATCAATATGTATGAGAAAACTAAACACCACTAATTTTTGTGCAATAATTGGTGTGCGTATCCCGTACAGGACGCCATCTCAAAGGAGAAGGTGCTCGTGTTCTCCAAGACCCACTGCCCTTACTGTGCGCGCGTCAAGGGAACGTTGGATGTGCTGGACGCCAAGTACGAGGTGGTGGAGCTGGACACGCGTGATGACGGTGCCGATATCCAGTCGCTGCTGCTGGACATCACAGGCCAGCGCACCGTGCCCAACGTCTTCATCAATGGCAAGCACATTGGCGGCTGCGACGATGTCTTGACGCTGCACACAAAGAGCGAGCTGGTGCCTATGCTCGAAAACTAAGCTGAGGACTATAAACTGCGCTGTAGAACATGTTGATCTAACTAAACATGTGCATTTGCCAAAGCTTTACGTTCGTCAAGCTCAGTGTGATTCTTATGTGTTGCAACTTGCTTGCTCTAGTTCGATGATTGTATCTAGACCGAGGTAGTACCCGGGCAGTCGTCGAAGTCGCCGATAATCATTTCGTCCAGCGAACGCCCTGCTCCGACCATGGGGTAGCAGTGCTCGTTCTTCTCGACCATAAACTCACCTAAGATGGGGCCCTCAGCAGCAAGGAACCGGGCCATGTCCTCCTCGAGCGTGTCTTCCTTTGAACAGCGGAATCCCTCGCAGTTCATCGCCTCGGCGAACTTGACGAAGTCCGGGTTATTCATCTTGGTGCCCGAGTATCGCTCCTCATAGAACAGGTCCTGCCACTGCTTGACCATGCCCTGGAAGTTGTTGTTCAGTAGCAGAACCTTCACGCCGATGTTGAACTCGGCAGCGGTCGCCATCTCGGCCAGCGTCATGGAGAAACTGGCATCGCCGTCAATATCAATCACAATATTGTCGGGTTTAGCTGCCTTGGCACCGATGGCAGCCGGGAGACCGAAGCCCATGGTACCCAGACCACCAGAAGTAATCATCGAGTTCGGACGTGACCACCGGTAGAACTGAGCGGCCCACATCTGATGCTGACCCACACCCGTGGTAATCAACACGTCGTCACGGCCCTTGGTCTGTTTGTACAGCTCCTCAATAACACGCTGCGCCTTCATCGGAGCGCCGGGAGCAGGCGACCGGTAACGAAACGGATACCTTGCCTTCCAGCCCTGAAGCTTCTTGTGCCATTCAGTGCGTGGCTTGCTCTCAATCTTGGGCAGAATCTGCTGCAAGTTGTACTTGGTGTCGCCGAGCACAGAGACATCGGCAGGCACGATCTTGCCCACCTGCTTGCCCGTGATCTCGAAGTGGATGATGCCACCACGGCCCTCAGCGGAAGCACGACGTGCCTCGCGTGCAAAGTCCGGTACACGTCCCGTCACACGGTCATCGAAGCGTGCGCCGAGTGTGATGATGCAGTCAGCGTCCTGCATGGCCTTGTTGGCGTACACCGATCCGTGCATGCCCAACATGTGCAGACTGAGCGGGTCACGCTCGTCAAAGGCACCCATACCCTGCAGCGACGTGGTCACGGGGATGTTGGCTTGGCGTGCAAGAGAACGGAGCTCTTCGCTAGCGTGCTGGACGCCTGCACCGGCGAAGATCAGCGGCTTCTTGGCTTTGTTAATCATCTTGATAGCGGCAGCCAGGTTGGCGTCCTGGTTCACGCGGTTACCCTCGATCTTCTTCTCGCCGTAGTAGCCCAGCAGTTGGGGCTCAGTGTACACGGGGCTCTTGCATAATCCGGCCGTGATATCCTTCGGCAGATCCACCAACACGGGGCCAGGGCGGCCGGTCGTGGCAATGTGGAAGGCCTCGCGGACGTTACGTGCAAGGTCGCGCACGTCGCGCACCTGCACGTTCCATTTGGTACATGGGCGGGTGATTCCCAGCACGTCTGCCTCCTGGAAGGCGTCCGTGCCCAGCACCTGGGTGGCCACTTGGCCACTAAAGACCACGATGGGGGTACCGTCCATAAGCGCGTCCTGCAGCGGCGTGACAGTGTTGGTGGCTCCAGGTCCTGAAGTCACCAGAACGACACCGGGCTTGCCAGTAGCACGGGCGTAACCCTGAGCCATGTGGCCGGCGCCCTGCTCGTGTCTCGTCAAGATGAAGTCGAAGTGCTTGCTCTCGTGAATAGCATCGAACACCGGGAGGATAGCACCACCAGGGTAGCCAAACACGCAATCGACATCCATCTCAGCCAGCGTCTCGTGGAAGATCTCGGCGCCAGTCTTGCCGATGAACTTGTCCGTGCTCTTGGGCTCCGCGCGCTTGTGCTCCTCCTGCACCTTAGTCGTGGACAGTTCACGCGAGTTATCGATAGCGGCCACCGCGGGCGTCTGCAGTCCACGAGCAGCCGACGAGAAGGACCGACGGATCTGCTGCTGCTTGGCGGTGGTGCGCAGCGCGCGCGTAAGCTGGCGGGCTCTCAACATGGTGGTCTGCAGAGGGCTACGCTAATCGGGATCTGACCTCCACCACACCAGGTTGATGCAGTACAGTTTATGCTCCTTAGTGACTGCGCAAACGGTTACGGCGGATTTGACTAGGATTTTGTAAGAATTAGAACCTTCTTTGATTGGTCAAAACGCCTAAACTGTTTGCGCAACAGCCTGATTGGTAGAAATAGCAGGGACACTGCAACCACAAGTGACTGTGCAAGATCGGCGGAAAGCATGGACGCATCAACTGCTCCGTCTCGGCGCTCCGATGTCGAAGACTGTAAGTTGAAGCTGCAGGGTATCGGCTTCCGACGAGCATGTGAACGCTCGGCCGTCGTTAAGCACCAAGTTGTTGCTGCGGTGTGAGTGCGCTAGAGGCAGTGTGACGGCATTCTCAGCAGCATTATCGATTGCCACGGGACATTTCTGCCTGCGCCAAATCATGCGACTGACGTCCAGCTTGTACAGCATCGAAGATGCATCCTCGCAGGGGCTGAACGACTCAGTCTCACCGTTGGAAGCGTACGTGTGTCCACCGAAGATGACGAGCGTGTGGTGCGCATAGAAACACTCGAACAACAGACGCTCGCTCGGCTCGTACGGCTGTGCACACACGAGCGTTGAGAGTCTCGGCGTCGACCACACCAGAGTCGTTAAGTCAAGGATGTACACATCCAGGGAGCGGCTCTTCTTGGGCTTGTCTGACCTGCTTTTTCGGATGCGCCACCCGCCAACCACCGCGAGCTGCTCGTTTTCTAGAGCAACCACCTGCATGCCAAAGCGAGCAGACGGAGGTTTTCCTACAGTTTTCGGTACAAACCAAGCTGGCGGTCGCTGGCGTTCATGCTCCTTCACCAGTACTCGAGCAGCATGACTCACTTGCCGTTCCAACCGTCGTTTTGATGCAGCTTCATCATCGTCACCGCAGATGTGGTTACGCCCAGACTTTTCCTCGTCCACAAGCAAGCGCTTCAAGCGCGCGGTCTGCAGTTGATGCAAATCGCTGTACACGAGCGTGTCGGATTTACCGCCAAAGAAAAAGATACTCGGCTCTTGTTGCCATGGCTGCTCTGTATCAAATGCAATGCTCCATCCGTGCCAGTAGCGTTCGTATGGCGTTGCTGAAGTGTCAAGCTGTGTCCAATGCCATAACTCTAGAGAGAGGGCAAAAAAGTCTCGAAACACCTGGCCATTGCGACCGCGACCACCGAAAACCAAAAGATGTTGAGGAGCCAAGAACAGCGCGGAGTGATCGCTGCGCTCGCGAGGTTCTCGTCCAGAGCATTCCCGACGCGTCCATGTGCTCGAACCTATGTTGAAGCTGTAAACACTGTTCGAGTACGTGTATCGCGTTCGTTCGAGCTGCATAGATTTCATTCGAACCGCACGGGGAAGCAAGATCGAGATGTCCCGAAGTACACGACCTCCAAACAGGACAAGCTGGTCCCCAATGTCGGGCAAGGAGCACAGCGTGAGAGAGTTGCCTTCGCGGATGCAAGGCACCGAAATCGCTTCAAAGGGATCCGATCCGTAAGCAGACAGGGCACCTCGGCAAGTTACAGAGACATTGTATCCTCGCAGCATATCGCCCACCAGAATATCAAGCGGCTCCTTGCTGTCTTCGACGGGGGTGTCAGGTATATCCTCAGGCTCGTCATTAGACTTTACATCAACAGCCAAAGATGGTTGAACAGTTGGGCTCTCATGCGCACCCTCGAGCGAGTCATCTTTGTTATCCTGCTGCTGCTGATTACCCCCCAAACGCCGTTGTTTATCTCTCACAAACTTGATCTTCCGGTATGAATCGCAAACAAACCTCGGGTCTTGGTTCCGGTGGTAGTCTAGTTTCTCCACGTACACGCACAGATCCACACGCTCTCGCAGCCAATCCGAGACAACACCGTCACGGCGGTCCTTCTCGCTAGACGCAGGTGCCGGTGTCGACATGAGTCCACTCGTCCCAAGGTGCCCGCTCACTCGCTCGCGTCAGCAAAATTAAAGTCTAACTGCGACAACAATTTCGAGCGTCGCTTCGCGCTGACCCATGCGTTTACATCCCTAATGGAGAGCAAACTGTTATGTAGTGCTGTGTCGGAGATGGTTGAGTGCTGTGGATGCCACTGTTAGGTTCCTTGTTAGACGCCCTTTCTTGTTTGCTCCAATTCTCGCCGGTTCGCACGTGTGAGAAAGGTATCAAACGGTTGGAGCGACTCCCGTTCTTCTCGCTGCTCAGTCTGGAATTTGACACGGCAACGATGGCAGATCCCGCACCAGGCACACCATCATCAGACAACGGCGTTGCCATCGTCTCGGAGCAGCTTACCGCTTTGCTCCTGAAGGATGACGACACCCGCGTTGCCACGACAGCCGTCCACGAGACTCCCGATTTGCTCTCAATCCCGCCGACGCCGCCGTCCAGCCTCGAATCACCTTCTTGTCTGCAGGCTCCGCCACATCGACGCCCGCTATTCAGCTCTATGCGTGAAGCACTCGAAAGCTCCGGGCAAGTGAAGGAAGAGCCCGGCGGATACGTGATCAAACGGCACAGCGGGCGCCCAGCCCAGTTCGGCACCAAGTATCGACACGCCAAGCAACGGGCCAATAGCAGAGGCGCTAATTCATTTCCAGGCCCCGTGAAGGAGGAAGCGGACGCCGCCGGCTACACAGTAATTCGGCGACGCTCGTCATGCGATGAAACATCGGTTTCCTACTCTCAATCCCATGTCCAGCGTTATCCACGGGCATCAACTCAAGCGTCTCGCGGTAGCAAGAAGCAGCCGCAGCGGCCGCGTCGAGGCAGCATGTCAGCACTATCGCATAGCAGTAGCTTGCTGGCTTCGATTTCGCCAGCGCCATCGTCTAGCGTGCCGCCCGGCTTTCAGCCCCTTCCAGCGGCATCACGAGTGACGCTGCGTCCGCCGCCCGGCTTAACGCCCGCGGCCTCCGGCTGGGTGGCCAAAGCTGCTGTACCGGCGGAACACACTAGCAAGCTTGAGGAACCGCCCGTTGAGGCGTTGTGGCCCGACATGAAGTCAGATACATGTCCGAGGACGGACGGAGGCTGGGCTGCCGCGACAACAGCCACGGGCGAAGGCGGCTTCCAGTGGCCCGCAGGGGCCAACGGCGATGCGAGCAACTCAGCCGTGCAGGACGACCGCAAAGACGACGATGATGATTTGCTTACGCGCCTTGGAGTGACCCTCTGAATTAGCGCCCCGATTAAGTAATCTTATTTTTGGACATTTTGACTATGAAGTGAATCACTTTTACACTCAGATGCAGAAATAACTGTACATGTATCGTGATGACGACGCCTAGAGACGGGCCGTTTTAGGTTCATGCGCACTTAGTGCTCCGTTTATTGGCCAATGAAAGGCAGTAATATCCAGCTAGGCGAATTGATTCGCTGCATCGTTGCATGTCCCATCTCCTTTGAGGGCGTAATACTAGAGACAAGTTTGTTCTCCGGCGACACAGTGCGGCACGGCCGACACATTTGCCATCATCTTCCATCTTTGCTTCTGCGTCGTTTGCCAAATTTCTCCAAATTGGCAGCAGTAGCATGGGATGGTACGACGGCGGCGACGAGCTGCTGGAGGAGGAGCGCAGCGTACGTCTCGGTGAGAATGCGCTAGTCGCGGGCATTGCGTTCTCGCTGTTCTGGGCCAACTTCGGGCTGTCTTGGTATCTGTCCAATCGCCGTATACCCGAGTTCTCGGCCTTCACCTCAGCACAAAAGGCCGACTGGTGTTCCAGGTGAGTCGTGACTCGTACCGCGTGAAGACAGCGCAGAAGGATTCTCACGCGAACTTGATTTTTTTTGTCGTCGTCCATGACAGAGTAAATTCGACAATCCACGCAATTCTGGTGGTCATTGGCGTCGCGTACGCACTGGCGGATATCAGCTGGTCGAACGAGTTCCTGCCCATGTCGTCTCTTCGGGCAGCGAGCTTCATCTTTTCGATTGGTGCGACAACGTGATGTGGGTTGACCGTGGAATATGGTTTACTAACTTGTTCGTGGGTTTCCCTTGCTGTCTCACAGCGATTGGATATTTCTTGTGCGACCTGATCATTATTATTATTTGGCCGGTACCGATGCAATGGGTCTTTATCATCCACCACATCGTCGCTGTGTACGTACTGGATACTTTACAGTAAAGAGGTATTCAGCTAACAGCTCTCACTTTGCTTTACAGAGTCCCATACTTCATCAACAATTTCATATCATGTTGTGCTGCATGTCAATTCGGGCTACTGCTGTTTCTGTTGGTTGAGCTTGCGACGCTGCCGCTTAATGCACGAGGTTTCATGGATGCCCGGGACAGGCAGGACAGGAAGAACTACATGCGCTCCATCTACTCAACGTACATCATATGGGCCATCTCCCGAACAGCGTTGCCGATCTTCGTCATGTACGACCTCTGGGCGTACGCTTACCCATCGGACCGCAATCACGACACTTGTTTCTTCCCTAATCTAATTAGTGCCCACCTCATCGCGGTGTTCTGCGTCGGTGTCTTCTTCTTCGTGCACACACCTGAGATGATCCGAATCAGACGCGAACATCGACAAGCGAACGGAGCTGCTGACTCGTCGGGAGAGGTCGCAATCAGCACGGATGACGCCGATATGATCGAGTCTGAAGTCGACGACACGCCCAGTTCCAAGGCCAAGAAGCCCAGTAGCATTCGCAGCCTTACTCTTTCACTGTCTAGACCCAAGGAGCCCATCACAGACGACTCCTATGACGATATCGAGCTCGGTGTCATGCCCCGAAGTGCTCGTGGTCGAGGCTCGACTCGAGTGTCCTAAGCTTAGTGAAGAAGCTGAGGACCCTCGAGCAAGAATTTATCGACGTTTTAGAACGTATAACCCAATTTTTAACAATAGTAAATCGTTTTGACTGAAAAATTTGAAAAATGTGTATTACTGTAGTGTTTTCAAATTCAATTTCTGTATCACTACTACTACGCATGAATCAGTATTATTTTTTGAAACATGGTTGAAACTGATAGTACATGTACTACTGTAGTAGTACAATGTAGTACTGTTAATTGTTTTTACGTTTTTGAAATTTTCCTATATTCGAAATGAAAACTGACTGAGTGTCTATTGGTTAAAATGCTTTACCCTCTTATAGTTTTAACCACTTGGGCGCACCAACCAAGAGATCATGAGGCTGACGTCGGACGTGATTCTGCGTGCGCAGGTGTCCATCAATCCGCTTCGCGAGCGCGAGCTGAACCTCCGAGGTACTTCCCCTCGTGCTTATCCGCTTGTGGTGCATCGGTTACTGACGCGGTTGCAGGTTACAAGGCGCCCGCGATTGAGAACTTGGGCGTCACACAGGACGGATTCGACTGCATCGATTTCTCGGACAATGAGATAAAGAAGCTTGAGAATTTCCCGCGTCTGCGCCGCCTCCGTATGTTGCTACTTCACAACAATCAGGTGTCCAAGATCCAGGAGAACCTGGCGGAGGCTATTCCCAACATGGAATTCCTCATGCTCACAGGCAACCGCATCGCTCAATTCTCAGAGGTCGACCGCCTCACGTGCTTCACCAAATTAGACACGCTCACGCTAAGTGGGAACCCTGTGACCAAACGCAAGTATTACCGTGAGTACGTCATCTACAAGCTGCCACAGCTGCACGTCCTCGACTTCCAGCGCATCCGTCCACGCGTAAGTCTGCCGTTAATTTGCTGTGTCTCGATTTTTCTAATCGGGTATTCTCTTGGACTGTTGTGTTTGAGGCAGGATCGTGAGGCTGCCAATACGTTTTTCAACTCGGCTGTTGGGCAAAGGGCCATGAAAGAGGCACACGGTGAAAGCGTAGCGGACTCAACGCATGCCATGAAGAAGGTTTCGATCACACAGCAACAGGTGGCTTCGACAGCAAGCGTGGTTCCTCCACCGCCGCCGCCACCGCGTGCTTCGTTTTCGCCGAAGAAGGAGGCTCCAGTCGAGTCGGTGGCACCACAGAAGGCGGCTCCAGTCGAGACGAAGGCACCACAGAAGGCGGCTCCAGTCAAGTCTGAATCACCAAAGGCGACTGTACAGGCCGAGCCGATGGAAGAAACTCCAGAACCGAAACAAGATGCACCTCCAGCTGATGTGGAAATGGAAGATGCAGAAGAGGAGCAAACAACAGTATCGTACACGCCGCCGAAGCCAATTGAACAGATGACTGTGAGTATCTTGCGCGAAGAATTGAAGAAACTAGGTCTGCCCATCAAGGGCTTGAAGGCGGAGTTGGCGAAGCGCTTGAAGGAAGCTGCTGGAGAAGCATAAACCCCCTTGCTTGCCCAAGGTGCAGTTATACCCCACCATTGCCAGAAGATAGGAGCTTAGAAACGGAGTCGGAAGAAGAGCGCACGCACCAATGCAAAGAAGCAACTCGACCTTGATCCTTCATGGCGCCGGTGAATATTTCGAACAGCACCGTTATGCAAAATGTGGTCAATGAGTATAGTGTCTCTCTTGCGAGCATCAACCTGTCGACACCATCCCGGTAAAACAAATCAGCTGCACTTTAATCTCTCTAATACGGCGCAATGCTTCGACTTAAGCTCTCCGCACGGTCACGGCGTGTCTGTGCGAGCTTTGTGAACCTCCCCTTCTCGTATATGTACATGAGTGGAACGCCTGGGTAGCAGTACACACAGAATTAGGCATCATGGAGCGTGGATAACATGTGCATTGGCAACGAGATCACATACCAGTCGGAGCAAGGAGCGAACATTTATCTGGCGCTGTCTTTTCCAACTTCATCTGCTCGCTGAACTCGTTTGCATCCATGCCATCCAGGTACTTAATGAGTGTCCGGATAACAAAACCGTGCGAAGACACCAACACGTTGTGCCCCGCAGCAAGATGCGGCAAGATGAACGCTTCGAAAAATGGAATGGTTCGGTTGTGGATATCCTCACAGCTTTCGCCATTTTCACCTGGAAACCGCGTGTAGTAGTCGTTTCGTATCTTCTTTACGTGTTCTCTGTTAAACATGACGGTGTGTTTCGTGCTTGGCACACCCTAATAGCTCAGAAAAAAGAGTTAGATTCGTAGTCGAAGCAGGTATGGTAGCAAACACGATCAGACCTGAAGATCACCGAAATTGCGCTCATTTAGTGTAGGCGACACATACACCGGGATGATCTAAACCACCAGACGCAAATCAGTCATCATCTCAACGCTGAACAAACAACGACACAGTTGCCACGTACGAAGTCGTAAGGGTTCTTGTCATTGACTCCTTCAAAGGATGGCTTTTCAAGTGGCGAGCTATGTTCCACAACCGGGGTTTTCTTACTGGAGTGCACACTCAATGCCAGCGACATTGTCGTGCGTGCACGATCCATCTGCGAGCAGAACACCACGTCGATCGGCACGTACTCCAGCCTCTTCCCCGCCTCATACGCCTCCTGCATGCCAACCTCACTGAACAATCAACGTTAGCTTTATAACCACAACAGTCAGCTCACGAGCTAAAGCTAAACCGTCTCACCTCAAGGGGATATCGATCGATCCGGCGTAGCGCCACAAGTCCGTGGGGCGGTCAGGCTTGCGGTTCCACACGCTCTGGCCGTGGCGCAACAGGATTAGCGTGCCAAAACTGGTTCGCGGCTTGTCACTCTGCATATCTGCTGCTCCACCCGGAGCAAGCTTGGCCCAGCTCGAGTCACACTCTCCGTTGCGTGTATCCCAGTGCTCCACGTGCGCGTGCGGAAGTTGGTAACGTCGTTCCGAGGGTCGCACCGAGTTGCAGCACTCGCCGTCGCCGCAGCCGCACACCTTGAGCTCGTTTTGACGCCTCCTCTCCGCCACAATTCCTGCAGCAGCGGCCAAGGCAGCCAGCAGAACTGAAGTCAGACCAACCACCACCTTCATGCTTGCGTATCGTGCGAAACACTTCCGCACCTGAAATCAGATGCAAACGTTTTCACGACGTTTGACATCAATTTCATAAATTTGAATAGCTTTCCCAAATATGCAGATAGCTTGTCTGTCTGCTTCCAACAAAAGAAATGGTTGGCAGTGCAGAGCTCAATATCCTAAACCCCTGACGCCAAGGCATTTTTCGTTGCAGTCTGGATCTCGTCTCCTTCCAAAGTATGGGGCGTGACGTGATCCCTACTGCCTTCTGACCGCATTCATGCTGAAAACGATGGTCGAAACGGATTAGGCTATGAGCCTAATGCGTTAGAATAGTCGCTACGACTTCACACACGACAATGTACCAAATCTGAACCGAAGACCCCCCTCCCTTCCAAGCCGCGACTTGTTCGTGCATGTCATTCCCGGAGCACCGTCTATCTGTTGCCTTGCTTGGAGAAGTCGTTTTCTTCCGTGGCACCTTGAGAGTAATACTCAACGCCGACAGATTGATATACACCATCCTCAGTACGAAGCCGCGTAACGGGTGTCATGTCCACACCGTGCTTGAGATGGATCGGATTCTTGCCAACAAGAATCACTGGTGGGGTGGATTGAGCCATTTATCACGAAAAGTGAGAAGCTTGATGAATGGAACTACGGTTATCTGCGTATGTATCAAACCAATAGAAAGTGGACGTTCACAAATTACGAGGATTGACAATTTGTCGTGTTAGCCTGGTGCAACGTGCACATCGACCCGATGCCATAAACCCAATTAAAATGACAAGTGGCTGGCCACCTCGGCAGGTTGCAGGCAGCGAGGCACGGTACAAAAAAAGCGAGAAATTGAATCTGCCGCTCTACAACTCTCCAAGAAGCGCAGTCACATCTTCCACCGTAAGATCGCGGTCGTTCTTGTTCAAGATAGCGCGCACCGCGTCGGAAGCACCTGTGTTCGGCACTGTCAGCGTCTTGTCCACAAAATTTGGCAATCGGTCTTGGTTGGCGTCAACCCAACGCAGATATATGAGCGACTGCTCTGGGGTCAGAATGGAGTGAAGCATTTCTGTCTGTCGCTGGACCGCTTCCGAGCGTTGTTCGAGGCTTCTTTTCAGTTTGCTTAAATATGTCTGTCGATAAACAATGTACCATGAGCTTCAAGAGTACAGTTATCAGCAGCTCCAGTCGGCAACCTACCACAGCCATCGCCACCCGTCGGCGTTCCGACTTGCTGCTCTTTGAGTCGCCCGATCTGCAACGAAGCACCCATCAGAACAGTTGCCAATGATATCGCTACGGTATATTACTTACTTGTAGAGCGACTTCAGTTTTTCATCCTGCTCATAAGTAAGGGCAAGGTCGTTTGTCAGAGTCGACCACAGCGTATCTTTTTTTACCACATTGGGAACTTTTTTCTTCTCTGGAGCCTCCCCAGCATTCTTCGCCCCCATCCCATTAGGCTCGTCGAAGAATGACTCGTCCTGAATACTAAGCCACAGCAAGAATCGGCAGTATGGTGGCAGCAGTAGGTTGTCGAGTTGACGGAAGTTGTAGTCCTTCACCGCCAGCCGTTCCTATCACAGATTATTATGAAAATAAGCAACATACAACAGCTCGCCATACACAGCCACCTACGCACCACACTGTTCGGTCCAAACCGCTCCTGAACTAGCATAATACCCTGTCGAATTTTCTCCTGCACCGACTGAACACACGAAAAAAAACACGTCAATACCAGCAACATCGTGGAAAGAACCGAACTAAAGGGTTTTATACCTCCTCGGTGCCACCGTTCTTCCTGTCCTCTGCAAGGCTATTCAGAATGTCTGAGCGAACTTGGTTCAGCGCCTCATTCGCGCTCTCCAAGTGCGCGGCGCGGGTCGTATCGATGCTCTCCGTCAATTGAGACACCTTCATTGCATCAATAGATTCGTCAGTCTAATAAACTTTCCTCCTAGCGTCAATCTGCCTATACCTTCTCCTCCAGTAGCTCCAGGTACTGCTTCTTGCGTCGACGACTCTGGCGAGCCGACTCGCGATTTCTGGCCAGGCGTCGCTGCCGCTTCTCGTCAGTGTCCAGCGTCCCAGCGTTTGACGACGAGTCGTCGTCATTTGCAGTCGGCCGCATCATTGAGCTCTCTGTGAAGCTTCCTGACGGTTGTTGAAAGGAGGGAGTGGTTGGAGTACTGGTGGCTGGCGGCGCGCTTGGAGTAAGTTCACCACCAAACGTCCGCTCGGGCGCTAAAGGGACGGTTTGGCCCAACGTGAACTGCTCGGCTGTTGGGGTGACGGACGCCGTCACTCCTGGACGCGTCTGTGGCATTTGTTCGGCCGCCACATCAGCTGATAGAAAGTAGCTCAGCAGATCGTCATCTTCGGCCGTGAGGTCCATGGCCATGGCTCCGCGGGCGTGCCGGTGCTGGTCGAGGTCAAGGAGATTGAATTGTCCAATGGCAGCGCCTACGCGCTCGACGTCAACGTCGGGGTCAAATCGTCTTGGAGTGAGCAAGTCGCTTTTGGTCGTCAGTGATGGCGGCACTCATACACAACACAAGTCAGATTTAGAATGTACACAAAATTAAAATGCTCTCGGCTTTATTTTAGTCACAAGTAAAACAAAAGCGCTTGACATCACGCGTTATAGTAGGTATAAGCAGAATCAGAATGCACAGTGAGGATTTACTTAAGGCATTTAGGCATTTTGTTATTCTCTTTATCCGTTATAGTGTTGATATTAGTTTCTTCTGAGTGTTGGTCTGCTTCTTCTTCCGGCGACTCAACTCATTCCAGGAAGCTCAACAACAAGACAAGGAACTTTACACCCATGGCGGAGCACGTGATTAAGATAACGAGCGAGGCGCCAGACATGAGCGACTCTGAAGTCAGCTCGCTCTGCGGTAGCGAGCTGGAGCTGGAGATGGCATGGGGCGAGGGTCCTATCGCACCGCTACGCACCGAAGCTTCTGCCGACGACGGCGCCGCCAAGAAGAATCTCATCGCGGGCGTGGAGCGCTCCGGTAGCAACGGCAATGGCTCCAGCCGCGCGCGCACACCGCAGAAGCGTGGCAACGAGTCGCCACTGGCCCGTAGTAAACGACTTATCAACATCCACCCCATCCGCTCAGCGGGATACCTGTCTAAGCCCAATGAGCTGCCAGTGGGCGTACGCAAGCAGCAGCGCTGGTTCAACGGTACGAGGGGGTCCTAAGATTTGAGTGCAATGGTGCGAAGGCTAATATTGTGCTACTGCAGATCACCATTTTGGCAACCGGGCAGCGTCCACCCGGCTGGAAGACTTGATGGAGCACATGGACATCAGCGTCGAGTGGAGGTGCGCTCCGGCGCAGTGTTTTCTGTCAGTATTGCTGGAATATCTGACTAAAATGCGGGGTGCATTATAGATCGAACTTTCAAAAGCTGGCCGAGCCTCAGAACGAGGACCTGCAGATCGAGTTCCGTAAAGGAGGAGGTGCACGTGTGAACAATCGACCGCATGCACCACGAAATCGTCGCACAGATGAATGGAATGGTGAGTGTGATGCTTGCTGCTGTGCATGAAATGACACTAAAGTTGCTGGGAACTGCGCAGATGCTGAGCAAATGTTCACCCGTGTTGACCGTCGTGCGCGGACATTGATGCTGCGGTCATTCAGCTCGTTTGCGCTGTTTATTGAAGCAGTGGAATATGTCGTCTTGTACTTCATCCAGGTACACTGAGTTATCTCCTGCAACGTTAAGCTTTGCTCAATGATTGTGTGCTATAGTGGCGAGAAGTACCTTCAGAGTTGGAAATTGCGACGCCGCTGTTCCGCATGTTAAAGCACCCGATTGAGCTGATGAAGGCGAACGAGAAGGACGTGCGTTTGATACTGCCGCTGCTCGACTCGGCTTTCCACCGATTGATCATTCACAGCGTCTGCCAGTTTTATGGCGTGCGATCACGAAGTGCGTTGTCTTTTTTCTTCATTTTTATTCTCAGTGTCTAATATCGTGAAACATGCTCAGCCGAAGCGAATCGACGTCTAAACACGAAGATCATGGTGCTTAAGAGCCCGAAGAGAAAGTTCTTGGCCGACGACGCGGCTCAGATTTCGCTATGCGAGTTCATTCGCGAGACTCGCATTGCCCAACGTCATGTCGTCGTGTCCTCGCCCGAAAAGGTCGTCGCTAACTGTCACGCGTTCGAGTTGCAGTCCAAAGGCAGCGAGAGTAGCGAGGGCTTCCTGATGGTGGAAGCCCCGCAGGTTTAAGCTCGTCGTTGGTTGTGGTCGCCTGGAATGATCAAGCAGTGGAAGTGAAGGCGACGTGAAAGCCAACTCGCTTGTCCAACACGTAATCAGGGTTCCATCTGGCTTCAACTCTTTTTGTGTCGCATATAGAAGTTTTAACCGCCTTGCCTTGCCGAGCTCAGCGGCCTCTTTAAAATCAGCTACTACGTTCCACAAAGGGCAGGCCCTATGAACACTTCCACAGAGCTGCTGCTTCTTAGTCCTCACTTAAATTTGTCATACAGACAGTTGAAGCTGACACATTTTCGCGACGTCATCACACAAATAATCGTACTTAGTGTGACTCTTGATTTTTTTACGGGGGGAGCTGTTGAGCTTTTCAAGAAATCGGCAGCGCGGGGAACCGGAGATCAGTTTTGAGTCGCCCCACGCGCCTAGACGACTGCGCGAGCACACAGATCGACACATGGAGCAGAACGCACCAGCAGAGGCCGAGGTGCAGGTCACGCCATTGCCCGATCCTGTAAAGCCCGAGGAATTTGTAATCGACACGGATGAAACTACTGCTGCTTCGGCCGCAGAGCCGACAGAGGGCGACAACGTCACTGCGAAATCTGCGGAGGAGATAAAGACGCATTTTCCAGATGTATCAGACGATAGTAAGTCGGTAGCTGAAACTACCGCGCAAAACGGCGCAGCGGAAGAGCAGGTTGACGCTGCTGAAGGCAGCACCAACGACGTTGAGTATCCATCTACGCCCGAGGAGGAACAAGTAGCTGAAGTATCTGAGGCCAATTTTGCCCCCGCTGCTGAGGTGAATGCAACGGAAGGATCGAGTGATGTGGCCGATGAGGCTGAAGAGACACAGGAAGATCTACCAACTCCAGACGTTGAGGAGGATACAGTTGAGGATGCATCTACACCAGATGCCGTTAGTGACAATGAAACTGCGGAAGATAATGTAGATGAAGAGGAACAGGATACTTTGGTGGAGGAAGCTGCAGTGACAGCCACGGCCACGATTGATGACACAGAGGAAAAGCTTGAAGCCTTGTTGACCATTGTGACTCCAGCAATTGTTGCGCTTGCGGATGGAGACTCGACGCCCATAGACTCCAATAAACAGGACACATCTGCGTTGTCGATTGATGCTGACGCGCCGACAGATTCTATGACTGAAGACCAAGCACAAGCTAATGGAGTCGCGTTAAGCAGCTTGATTGATGACGGAACGGTGGCAGCGCCCGAAGGAGCTTTGCAGTATCCCCAGGAGTTGGAATTGGCTTCGCCCGCTGCGATGCCTAATTTACTTGTCGCTGCCGCAGACGCCGACACTGAGAATAGTCGCGATCCGGTAACACTGGAAGCTGACACGAAAGAATCCGAACAAGAGCAGGCAGAAAACGGCGTAAAGATTGAGGAAGGCGAACACGCGACTATCACGGCTGTGCCGGAGGAGCCAGCTAAACCCACGCCCGTTGATGCGAACTTGGAAGCAGTGCTGGAGAAGATTCGAAACAAACTCACGTGCGAATCCGTTGAAGTGTTGGAGTCTGGGGAGATTCTGGCCCTGCCAAAGGGCTGGTCCACTCGGCAGAGCAAAACTAATGATGGCAAGACATACTACGTATCTCCTTACGGGCACACCCAGTGGCTGCGGCCTCCCATGAAGACCGGTGTCATTTACAAATGGGTACATGAGATCGAGGTGACATTTGGACCAGGTCGACTGGGGCTCAACCTGAAGCAAATCGCTGGTATCCCTGGCACAGTATTTACCGATCTTCAAGTCCACATCGCCGAGATCTACAAATTACCGAATGGAATGGCAAGTCCTGCAGAGATTTATAACTGGAGTGTCAAGCCAGAAAAGCGTCTTGCAGTGAACATGCGAGTGACGATGATGAATGGCATTTCTTTGACGGGATACACGTACTCAGAGGTGCTGGAACTGCTCGCTAGAATGGTGCGTCCTGTCCGTATCAAGTTCGCTGATATCTCTAAAGGTATCGTGGGTCGAGTTGAAGAGGAGACCCCACATGAGGAGACTGAAGAAGTCAAAGAGGCTCGTGCAGCTCGAGTAATGCAGAACTCGCTGCGTTCCGAGTACTTCCAGATCTTGGTATCGTTTGAACTTCATAAACAGGTTTGGGCGGCAACGAAGCACAATATGCGTCTGAAGATACTTGAAATGGAGAAGAAGAGCGGAGTGCTGGAGTCTCAAGTGGAGGCTGAGCTGCAACACCAGGGAGATCTAGAGAAGGATCGTGAAAACCTGATCCAAGAGGCTGCCTCACTCAAAGAAATGATCGAGCAGTTGGACAAGCAAACGGCTGGAGAAATTGAGTCACCAGAAGTGCTACGGACTGCGGAACTGACGCAGCGAAGAGCAAAGTTGGAGAAGGAAGTGACTGAAATCATCGCCGAAAATGGCGAACTGCAGGCGGCACGTGTGAAAATTGAGGATACGCTGGATGAGTTGCAGCAGGAGCTGGACGTATACGGAGATCTCGACGTGGATCCGACTGGCCAGCAAGAGATCAAGTTCTTCTCTCCGGGATTCTTGGGCTCCATGGTTCATAGAGGCTCGATCGATACTCGCGCCGAGGATGCACGCGAGCGTCTTCTTGAGAAGGTTAAGGCGCAACACAATCATCTGGAAGAAGAGATCAAGCTAGAGGAAGAGCGATCGGCATTCGTCGAATCGGAGATCAACCAGTTCAAGAAGCAAATGGACGTGGCAGCAGAGGCGGTCAAGCGCGAAGATGCGTTTATCAGTGGCGAGCGTCCGCCTCAAATGATCTTTTTGGAGAACAAGATTGCCTTACTGAAGAAGAATCTGCGGGAGACTGTGGCTGGAATAGCAAACGCAGGAAAGAGCGGTGACCAGCAACAGGCTGACAATTTATCTCTCCGACGAGCAGACTTGAAGGATGACCTGAAGGCGGCGCTTGACGAAATGCGACGAATGGAGAACGAGCTGAACGTGTTCTTTGATGTTGATGAAGGTAAACAAGTGAAGCTTCTACGCTCGGATTCGTCGATTGATACTGTAAATATTGACGAGGCTCCACACGAGCGCGCGTCTGAATCGACCCGACTACAGCACAAGCTAACAAAGCTTCAAATGCAGCTGCACGATACCGTAGTTCAACTCGCGAAGACTGCAGGTGAGAAGGATGAGACGCGTAAGAGTGAGTTGGGCAAGCGACGCTTGCAGCTGAAGGACGAAATGAAGGTCGTCCAAGACCAATTCCAGCTTTTGACCAACGGGACACTCAATGTGGCGGTCAACAACAGGGAATCGACGTATCTGAGACCGTCTATTGTTGGCCCACCGTCACTGCAGGATGTTCCCCGTAGATCTACCGGTGGCTCTCGGGCGTCGCTTGGTGGTATTCGCGCTTCGATAAGTGGCAGCAGAGCGTCAATGGCTGCTGGTGGGGCTTCACAAACTCGAAGACCTTCGGAGAGCGTGCAAAGAGGCTCCGAGCGCAATGACCCCAACGTCAGCCGCCGAAGCAGTAGCAGTGCCTCAATGTCCCAGTCTAATGACTCCAATTCCAACCAGATGCCTCGAGATGGTACACTGCCGGTAATGAACGGTATTCTCCGAAAACACCCAACTCACTCCAACGAGAAGGGAACATTCGGCAAAATGTCGCTGCGTGGCGTTCGTGAGCGATGGTGCAATATTGAGCCTGATGGATATCTTCGATACTACAAGCGGGAGGGTGATCGTGAACCTCGTGGTGCGATCCCTTTGAAGAACAAGTCTCTTGAGATCTTGCATGGCAAGGGAGTAGGCAAGCCGAACGAGTTTGTGATCTGTTTACCCACACAACAGACGCGGATGGTTGCGAAGACACGTGACGACATGCTCAAGTGGGTAATGATGCTGGAACTCGCACACGCTTACTTTATGCAGTATGGCCGTGGATCCATCGATGGAGGCAACGCACCAGGGAGTGTCTCCTCCGTTGGAAGCAATGGAGACCATCTCGCAAATGCACTGTCGCCCGGGTCAGCAGACGCAGAGCTGGTGTACCGGAACCAGCGTGCTACGCTCGGCTTCTAGCCGACTTGTATTAACTACCAGCCAGCGCAGACCGCTTACTTCACATTTTTTACTCTGGCAGGGTTTTGATAACATATTTCCCGCTAGGACACTGTAGACATATTTATTGGCAGTGATGACGTCTTTCCGATATCCCAAACAGAGCAGCAACAACAACAAAATCTGAAGGTCATCTTTTTTTTCTAAAACAGACAGATATCATATTAAAGAGTCTATTTATTACTTTTCAGAGCCCTGCGACTAAAAGTCCCTGAGTGGCCACAGAGGAAATTGGACCATGTTCCGCGCTCGTAAGTTCGTCGAGGTGCCGTCCAAGCGCGTGGGTACGGGGCTGCTGTCGACCGACGCCAGCAAGCGCCAGCGTCTTGAGCACTGGGACGCGCTGTATGCGCCGCGCTCGGGCAGCGTGGCGGATGCGGAGGAGAGCGCGTCGCTGCTGGTGGATTCGCGAAGCTGCACCATCGCGGAAGGCGCGAGTCTGCCGCCCCATATACTGGAAGAAGTGCGCAAGGAGTGGCCTCATCTGCCTCTTCATCAGCGTCACCAGATCCGCTGCTGCCGGGCCTCGGTTCCCTCAGCACGACACCGTAGTGGACGTCAGTGGATCCAGTACTTTGTCTTCCCACTACGCACCAAGGTGCTACTATGGCAGCAGGATCGAGACAAAGTCATCGCTCTGCAGCTTCCTGACGAACTGGAGCCGGATGAAGAGCTGTATCCCTTTCTCTTTGCTCTCTACAGCCAGAGTCTCAGTCTTATGATCGTGGGGAAGAGCGGTATTGTGCTTTTCTGGGAAGATATTGAACTCCCGTACGAGAGTGTGCCACTCAGTGTACAAATCCCACTTTGGAGTAATGAACAAGTGGCTACACATCCTAATGCAGCCATGTTGGCTACTCAAGAAGGAGCACAAGACGAGGAAATTCACGACGACGCTACCGGGTTGTTGTGCTGGAGTAACCAGGGCAATGTATGGGAAGTTGCAGTGGAGGATCGACGGATTCGAGTCCGAGCCTTTGAGAAGCAGAGTGCAGGATTCCTATCTGGAATCACCAAGTCAGTATCGCAGTTTTTCTTCTCATCCGCGGCGTCAAGATCTGGAGCTGATGGAGGAGAGCTCGACGTGAATCAGCCTATTAAGTACTTACGAGTGCTGTCTTCGTCTATGGCTGATGCAGCGTCCATGAGTAGCAGTGGAGGAGAAGTGGAAGAAACGGCGGATATGCTGGTATTGTTCCAAGACGGCATGTTGGAGCGACGGACGTTCAGCACTGGAGATGTGATGGACTGCTCGTGTGTTTCTCAGTGGCATTTCGACGCTAGTCGTGTCGCTATTAGTTATTTCAGTGACAACTTCCCAAAAGCTCATTTGGCGAAGGTGTACATCGTTTCGATGCCTTACGTACAGGAGACGTGCTTCTCGCTGCTAGTGGCGTTTGTGTGCTCTTCGTCGCGTGCTGGCACCAACCCAACAGTCAAGTACGCGCTGCTCCAGTTCTCTCTTGGAGCCGTGGATGAGGACGCCCCACCTGAGTTGGAGTGGGCGTGTGTGCTGGACTTTGAGCCGGCGTATGATGAACAACTCGCCGATCGGTTTTTCGAGGTTGAGAGTTTTTCCATTACGCGCGGTGCGCTGTATCTCGTGTGGACACAGATGCAGCCGATTCAGTTTTCTACGATCCTATTGCCTCAAACTGGCCAGACAAGTGTGCGCTCGGCGGTATTCCCGCTTCAAGGTGCTCCGGGTCGACTAGCTCTCGCGTTTGGAGCACGTGTGGACCAGAGTTCGTTCGACAACAACGCGGTGAAGGGATCTGTGTCGTTTTTGCTGATGGAAGAAGATGTCAAGGCGCTGAGTGGATCCGTGTGTGTAGCTACAGCTTCAGACATGCAAAAACTGGAACGTTTGGCACCTCTAGTTCCATCTGAGGCGGCTGTGGAGAAGACACGCAGACGGCGGGAAGAAGCGAGCTGCTACACCAGCGAATCGTCCCATTTCTTGGGCGAGAATTTGAGTGTGGAGGGCTACATTCACTTGATTCTGACACACTTCCACGAGCAGCCAAACTCCGCTTCCGCGCTGCGTGTGAACTCAAGAGATGTGGCTTCTGTTGCTCAAGCCGCAGTGTCTGTAGATTTCCAGATTCTGGATGCCAAGTCTTCTTCTGGACTGCGCTGGGAGAAAGATGGGAATAACGAAGCCCCGCCGCAAACTGAGAAGGCTGGGGCTGATGTGTCTTCAGTCACACCCAAACTGGTGCGCTACCAGTTGGAAGAGAAGAGGAATCGTCACGTCGCCTTCATGGAGTTTCTGCAACGTCGATGTGCGTCGGTGTGGCAGTTTATTGAAGAATCGGACGAGCTGAGGCGTCATTTGACTGAGAATGAAGAGAAGCTGCAAGCGGCAATTGCTCTGAGCAAGTTCCAGGCGTCGATTCTGTCGAGTGCTGAAGAGGACGAAGCTTCTTCTGACGTGGAGAAGATTCAGCGCCGACTAACTGGGAAGTTCCTTCTTCATGCGATCGAAAAAACAGTGGAGAAGCGAGGTTATCAGAAAGAGCAGCTTCGTCTCGCAGGCTACAACGCATTTGATGTCTTCTACTGTGAAGTGAGCAAAATTGCGGAGCTCTTCCAGCTTTTGGGTGACGAAGTGCAGACTCTTGCGACTTCCATTGGCGAGAGCGATCCAACGTATCTTTACGCTCTGCTAGAGAGCGGCTGTGCCATGCTCAGTATGCTCTGCACTCCTGTGCAAAGCTCTACTGCCAGCTTTGAGCTGACTGGAAGCTGGGCTTTTACGCGTGAAGTACGCGAAGTTCTGGCGACTCAAATCTCGCGCTTGTCTGTTCTCGCTGGTTACTCGCGAGGCTCAAGTAACAAGCCGATTCGTTGGCAGTACGATGAAGTATTCGAGATCACGGATCAGATCCGAAGACTTGGAACTGCCCTGCTCGATGACTATGCTCGGTTTATCCCTCTTGTTTCGAGCGACGAAGCCGAGGAGCTGCGCAAGGAGGAAACGTTTACGAAGCGCGTTACATTGAACCCATTGGTCTACATCGCGACGCAGACTCCGTCTCAAGACAGTGAAGTTGCCATTGACTTTGACAAGGACGGTGCTGTCACGCGAAAGCGCGCAGAACTGTTCAGTCAATGTGCTGAGCTCTGCGAGAAGTACTCGTACTTTGAAGGCATGGTATTTTTGGTCTTCGTTGAAGACTCGGAGAACCTGTCGAAGCTGGATTGTGTGCTTGGCAAATTGCCTAAGAGCCTGGCGTCAAGAAGATTGGAAGCGTATTGCAAGAAGCACGAGGGCTTCGACAACTTCGTTTTCCGTTGGTACAATGGCGAGGTTGAGAACCCGTGGGTACAGGGCACTCAAGAACCTAACGCCACAATGATGGTGTATTTACTGGCGCACTCGCAGATCTTCGCGCCATCACTACACAAATTCATGAAGAGCCGTGAGCACCTAAGGAAGTATCGCTGGCTGACAGCTGTCTCTATCGAGCGGTACGACCAGGTGGCGACGCTAGCATTACGTGAAGCCAAGGGCGAGCAGCGGTCGTTGCCGAAGCGCAAGACGATGGCGAGTATTGCTAAGATCGCTGCTTTTGCTTCTCCCAGTCTGTCTCACCCTGAGAGGGTTCAGGAGATCAACCATGAGGTACGTAGCTGTTATCGCTGTGCTTGTGCAAGGTGATCCTGACCATATATGTTGCTGCAGCTTGTCCGCGGAAAGCTTCAGGAGCTGTTGTTGCAGCTGCCGTTGAAGGAGCCTATCAACTCGAAGCCGCTCTCTCCTGAGGATTTGGTTCACGCCTGCTTGTCATCAGCTCTATCCTCCGAGAAAGATGACCCCATGAGGTAAAGTGCGACGTCTGGGTTGATCATGTGTGACGTTTACTCACGTTGTTTTTCTTGTTACGTTTCGACAGAACCAACATTTTCTTGATGGCTCTTGAAGCGTTAGAGACGCTGGCAACGGACCCGTTGACCGAGCAGTACGAAGAGATGCGTGCGGGTGTGTGGCGATCCTGCATTGTCGATGATGGCGAATTGTGGGATAACTTGGCTGCCGAGTCAGCTGCGGGTGTGAACGAGGAGAAGCTGGAGTCGCTAATGCGGCAAACGCTACTCTACAAGGTTATGAAGGAGCACTCATCCCGACTGGAGCACTGTGTGCATGGCGCGCACACTACAGCAGCACTGACGATTGAGGTCATTCGGGAGCTGGTACACCGAGAGGGCGATGTTGACTCAATCGTGAGCGTTCAGAGCCAACAGCTACTGATCAAGACGCTGCATCTGGCACTATCGTTTGAGTAATAAACACTTGGAGGTTTACAATACAGAATGCTGCCAACAGTACGATAAGTCTAAGTGAACACAGCAGCGGAGATCATGGAATTCATAAGGTAGCAGCGACAATGCCGCCTCCGCCTGAAGTCAGCGATAAAAAACAAGAAACTCCTAATTACAGCGTCGTAGCAGGGTGACTGAGGCGCCCTATCCTAATCTTCATCTTCCGAGGATACCGTCGGCATCGGCGACAGTGCAATTGTCAGCTGGATAATCGAGCAACGAATAACACCCAGTTAGTCGTCCAATTCGTCATCTGAGACGAGAGTTTGAATGAAAACACTTACAACGGCCATAGACATGAGGACGACACGCGACTCCAGTTCCGAGTTCTCCGTCGAGATCACCCAGCTAGCAACAAATCGACCAAGTTAGAGCTCAGAAAGGATCAAAGTATCCAAATAACAGCGTACCTGTCGGATAGGAAGAGGGTCAAGATGCCCACCGTCAGAAGCGCAAGCGTGGACTTGGACTGGTTGTGCTCTCCATTGCGAAGAATAGACACGACGGCAATGAGCAGCGACACGTTGGCCAGAGCGACCGAGATAGCGACCATCATCTCGAACTCACGAGGCGTGTCACTGATCAGCAGCAAAAGCTCTGCGGCAGCGCGCCACGCCAGACCAGTGGCCACCCACTTGGCCGAAGCACGAGCATCCTTCTGGTGGAAGAAGAGCAGCAACGCTACTACAGGAGTCAGGAAAACCAGCCATCTCCGCCACAACTCGGACTCCTCCGCCTCACGCGGTAGCATCTGGCTCGCCACTAGTGAGCCCATCACAGCCACAACACTCAAGACCGACGCAAGGTAGCCGTTCTCCACTGCCTTAGCAATCAAGCCGTTGTTCTGTGCAGGGCTTGCGTGCTCGTGAACGTGGTTAACCGTAGCGCTGGCCTCTGACGTCGTGGTCTGCTTGGTGCGTTGCGGCTTCAATAGCACAGATTCCTCTTCCTCCTCGTACGACAACGTCACCGGCTTCTTGTGCACACCCGTCTCCGCAGTTGACGAGGCAGGAGGAGTCATCTCTCGCACCTGCGGAGCTAGAGCTGCAATAGTCGACCGCAGCAGCACCGAGTCGTCTTCTTCGTCCAGACGAGACACGAAAAGTGTCGAGGATGACGTCTCCTGGGTCTGATGCCGAGTAGATCGGCGTCTGGGCGTCTCCTTCACGTTGGTTTCATTGTTGTTCTCTTTGTAGCGAGGACTTCTGCGTCGCTGTGGAGCTGGAGACGACTTCGTAGGACTCTCCTTGTGCTTCTTCTCCTTCTTCTCCTTCTTCTCTTCCTCGTTGTTGTCCACTGGCAGCTTCCGGCTCACCGAGGAGCTGCGACTGCGAGAGCGTGTCACCGAGGCACTACGCGAGCGACTACGACGACTCCTGGAGCGGCCAGGACTCTTACTTCTGCGCGTCGAGCGGCTGGGGCTACGACCGCGAGGCGTCGAGCTGCCGGACTCCTTCTTGCGTTCTACGCAGACACAAATATTAGTATTGAAGGCGGAAGAGCGAGAGATGGGCCATTATAACCACACATACGGTCTTCAAAGCGCTTGATGATATCCGAGTAGCCATCAGCCATTAAGTCGATGCGGCTCTCCCTGCGTAAAATGTAACAGATAAAAGACAATAAAATGGGTTACTCTACTGCAATGCTGCGCTGGACTTGGTGCAGTCCGTACCAGGTGTTGTTCTCCTGTCCAAAGCCCTTCCAGACCACGTAGTAGTGCACGCGCTGCTTGATGAGCTTGCGGTCCATGATGCGCTCAATGTCGTCCGGCATCTCGTCGGGGTCGAGAGTGAAAAATTAGGTGTCGTCTCGATTAGCTTCTCTTGATAATGGAGACCAAGAGTTTTTTTTGCCGCCCAAGTCCCCTCCTTCAAACCTCTTTTGTGATCGCTGATTGGCTGATTCTTCTGACTTAATTTTTTAAGGATGCTGTATTTGTTTCCATGCGAAGGCGATGAAGCACGGTCTCAAAATTTGAAGAAGAGGATTACACGTAGTCGCACATTTCTCTCAAGGACGCGTTGGTGAAGCCATTATTATACAAGAATATATAAAAGAAAAAGCTTTGGTCGGCCGGTCCGCCTTGTTTGAGTTACAAGATGGGTGGTGTAGAATTGTTTAATCCTGCTTGATTGGCAGTGGATATCTTGAAGCTCAAATGAAAGGCAAAAGTTTCCTAGTTTCAGTGAAAGAGAAGAAGATGGCACTGCTTCTAAGAAGCTTATTTTCTTAGTAATCGTCTTTTTAAACATAAAGACTTCTCAGCATAAGCAAGCAAACGACCAAATCGGTTCAACGCCCGTGTCTACCAATGACATTGTTTTTTATTTTTCAAAACTAAATTGTATTCAGCGACAAATAATAACAGCGTATTTCGACACAATTCCTGATGGCAAAATCACGTACAGCAGTGTCTGTCCATGGGCCTCCCTAGCTCACGTTGCCACGGCCGTACGTGCCTTCGGGACACTTGTACTCATCCGGAAGCAGGGAGCGTTGCAATGCATTGAAAGCGTATTGACGCTTGCCGGTGTTCTTGAGTGCGTTCTCGAGGCGAACACCGTTACTGCGCATGGTCGACACCGTGCGCACCGCGAACTCCTCGGGCAAACCGTGATTCTCGCTCAGCAGTCGCACCTGCTCGAGCGTCACGGACATGCCGGTGCGGTCCTTGGCACTCTTGCACGACGTCACTCGACCAGCGCCCAACAGACGACACAAGCGCGAGCTCTCCTGAATGATCTTCGGGTGCTTGGACTTCACGACATGCCGCTTACTGGCCGCCGCAATACGCTCCTCCAGCGATTCCAGAAGAGGCGCAACCGTGCTCATTGGCGTCGGCACTGCGTCTGGCTGCATATAACAAAAACAAAACAATACAAGTATCAGTAAACCACGCTCTGAGACGTTTCGAAATGCTCAACGTACCCTCTGAGTAGCGAGTTGCTTGTACTTCTCGATGTAGCGCGTCAGCACGAAGAAGCTCTTGCGGTTAATGATGTCTTGCAGAGTCGTCTTCTTGGTACTGGCGTTGTTGGCCAATGTCTGCATCTCGTTGATGCCCTGTGTAAAGATCACGGGGGTGACGGTGATGGAACTGCCCGATCGGATAGCGGACGGGATCGACGCTCGCACGTCTTCCGAACAACGCACACCAATCGCCACAGTGAAGGTTCCCTTAGTAGATCCCTTGCTCAAGCGCACCGATACAACACCAGGTAATGTGGTGTTCTTCATGTGCAGATTAAGCAGCGTAGACGGGAGGTGAGTAGGTGGCGAAGTGTCAATCACAAACGTCACGTGCTTGAGTGCATCTACAGCGGCGGAGAAATCTTCCAGCATTCTGATCTCCTTGCCCTGTGTGGACAGCAATGACTCGACCTGGAAGAGGAATTCGATAGAGTCGATCGTTCGCAGGAAGGTGCGGTCGCTCGGGTGCTGCAACGAGTACTCCAACTGGCGACAGAAAGACGTCACCAGCGTAGTCAGCGCCTGAGAGAAGCACATGTCAAACCGCGTCGTGAGATGCCAGCGTGTCTCGTCCGTAGAGCGAGTATCCGTATTGGTCCAATCCACAGCGTCGACGCTTTTGTCTGACACGTCGCTCTGCACACGCGACAGCGATCGCTTCTGCAGGTTCGCTCGTAAGCTCAGGATGCTGCCGTTGTGGCGGAACTTGAAACAGTGAGCTGCAAACGCGCCGGCCGTCACCGTAGGATACACGCGAACGTTGGGTGACGTGCGTCTTGATCGCTGCGAGCGCAGATCCGCCGTAGGACCGACCCACATGTCCTGCACGTGCAGGTTGATGGGCAGGAACCGCAACACGAGGCTCTTCTTCTCGGTACTGGCCTTGAAGTTCAGTCCTTCTCCCGCACGCTCAATACACAGCTGGTGGCACTCACGCAGCGCCTCGACGTACATTTTACGCTGCTGGACGCGCTCGTTCAGCCACGTTTGCACCACAGTCTGGTCGTTCTCGCCCTGAATCTGCTCGATCAAATTGTCGTACAGATTGCCCACAAGTCCACTCTTCACTCTCGCTTCGAACTCCGCAGCATCCGCCTGTGCACGCGCCAGATCATCCGCACGATCGGTAACTAGTAGCTCCAGGTACTGGCGCGGCAGTTCGTTCGTCAACGGACTCTCGACCATGTCTTCGATCACCATTTCGTCACCTTCAGCAAACTGGAAACTCTTCGTGATGTAGAAGCCCGAGTTTTCCTTGAGTTGACGTGGGGAGACAGTCATTGACTTGACGCGAAGGCGCGGTACCGACGGATCCACTTCAAGGGTAGCAGCTCCAATAGTAGCGTTAACATTCGGAGACTCAGTGCCAGTTCCGTCGCTAAGCACTGTCGGGATTGGTGACCGATTGCGGTAAGAGACTTGTCGAGCTACCAAGTTCACCTCGTCGGCGGACAGCATGTCATCGCAGGCACACGAGAACTCGCAGAACACCTTCGGACGTGACGGTGGGGCCATTCCCATCCCAGATACGCGAGCGATTCTAGCACGTTCATCGAGCTGTATGGACGATGCACGCATCAGCTGACGAGACTCGCGTACGTCCCCATCAGAAGACGGAGAGGAAGTTTTCTCTGGGATTTCGTACACCACAAAGCGGAGAAGCGGATTCGCAGGCATCACCGGGATCTGAAGCACCGACAAAAACGTAGCGATTTGCGTCACACCGCCGGTGTTTTCAGAGTTGCCAGTCACCAGAGTAGGGAGTACAGTCTCAGTGAAGCCCACACGCGACCACTTCGCTGTTGGGTTAGATACGGGCTGAGGTGTGGGCAACGCGTTAGCGCCAAGCAGAGAGATGGACTGACTGCGACGACTAAGTATTCCTTCTTGGTGCAGTCCGCTCTCAATGAATGTACTGATGGAAGAGCGACGGTAACTCAGTACTGGGAGGTCTTCGTAATGGTCTTCTCCGGTCACATCGTTCTCACCGCCTTCAGGGTTCGTATTCTCCGCCACGTAGAGCTCAATAAAGCACGCGTGTGTAAGAGGAATAGGCGACACGAGCTGAACTGCTAGTGCCAGCACATTCTGCGTGCCATCGACACTCTCCTGGCCAATGGGGTTGTACTCCGTGTCAGGAAAACGTAGAATACCAGCCCAGCCGTCGCTTAGTCCAGTACCATTTCCAGACATGTCGAACTTGCCACTTTCAACCTTCTCCGAGATGCTTGACATCGTACGATGAAGTAACTGCGGGTCCTTGACGTGCAACGACGGGTTCCAATTCATTCCATGCAAACGAGGGTTCCACTGCAGCAACAGAAATCCAATCGGCGGCACCAGAGTCGGAAGCCAGATGGAGAAAACATACCACACGACAGAGTCGATACTCCAATTCTTCCAGTGCAGAATTGAGTTCATGATGCAGGATGTTCCGAGTACAAGGGCAATCGACAGGATCACCACCAGGTACGTGATCAACGACTTCTTCATCACCTGCACCACGTGATCATCGAAGATATCGCCCGACTGATCAATGAGCCGCACGCCACGCTGGATCACAAACGTTCCTAGCACAAGCAACGCCACTGAAGTCAGGAAGATCAGCAGCTCTGCACTCTGGTGAAGCGGGAAGAACCAGCCCGAGTAGCTGACGTCTTTGCACACATTGTTGACCGCATATTTCCACTGAGTCGGCTGCAGGTCGGGGCAGTAGTCGTCCGAGCACAAGCGCATATTGTAGAATGGGTTCTTGAGGTAGTCATCGTATGTACATTTGTAGAAATCGGTGAGACTAACGACGCCGAAAAGCTGGACGGTATAGAATGCGACGTTAATGATCACGTAGACGACGAACACCAATAGACGTCCAGAGGGTCCCACGTTGTGGAACAGCACAGTTCCCCAGTGGAAGCATACTGAGGTCATCATCGTCCACGTGAAACAGACAGAAATCGCGTACATCAGGTAGTAAATGTCTGTTCCCCGTGCCGACGATGCCTTGGTCGAAACACTGATCCAAATCGCGTTGCCAACGATGCACAGGACGAAGATCATCATCACAGACAGCGACGTCATGTCGTTGTAAAATGTAGGCCTGGAGAAAGAGATGCCATTCTGGTATTTGCAGCATGGTTATTAGTCAGGCCATCGCACTTAGCAACAAGACTTGGGAAGCTTACCATTCGTGTAACGAGGACAGCACCAGCCAGAGCAACAGCGAAGAATGTGATCGACATGACACTGTAGACACTTAGAGTAGACTTGGAGTCTGTATCAAAACATAATGACGTGATTGTGAGCACTTAGTAGACAGATCTAGGAGACAGACAAGCGCAGTACTTACATGTCTTCGCGTGAACTAGCGTCTGTGCGCAGTCGCTGCCCATCACGGCGCTGCCGTCCATCAGCACAACTTCGCTGAGAGGAGGCAAGCGGAAGCCGGTAGTGACACCCTCTTCACCCTCGTTGCTAGTCCACGCCACGTTTGTTACTTGAATCTGAAACGTGAAGGTCGTCCTGATCTCCCACGAATCGTTGGTCTTGACACCCGACGGAAGTAGATTCGTCACACAGAAGTAGCTGGCGTTGCTGCTCTCTATGTTCAGGTTCGTAGCACCAGGGTCAGCGTAAAGATTGAGGAAAGGATTTCCGCCTTGCACGTAAGAAGCCTGCGTGAAAGACCCGAAGCTCACAGTCGACGTAGGCTCACGTCCTTTGCTTGCACAATACGACGAGCGCATGTCGACGCATACTTTTGGGTTGTCTGAGCTGGGGCCAACGATAGTAGACGTTGAGAACGACAGCATCAGAATCTCAGTGTCCTCCTCCATCCACACCAGCGACGAATCCAAGCGGCCTCTTCGAATAGAGGGCAACGCCATGGTAGCGAGAGTGAGAGCGCTAAAATCCTCCGTCGAAGTAAAAGTTATGGAGTCAGAAGCAATCACTGTTAGCTCCCGCATACGTCGGGAAGTAGCAGCGGACTTGAGCGCTCCGGCCGAGGTCTCATAAGACAGCGACACACTGACACCCACAGAGCTGCTTGAAGCCTTGGCGCCAGTGATGATACTCTTCGACAAGACGAAAGACATTGGACCACGAGAGCTCGACGTCATCAGGTCTCCTCGGCCTTCAATAAGGTTCATGACGTCGACGAAGCCATATCTGTGAGAATCGCTGTCGCAGTTGTCGCTGTTCGTCACGTCTTCACAGCTGTGGACACGTACAGCCGACGAGTAGTACTTGTCGTCGCCCCGCAGCGTCACTTTGACTGCCGTGTTTTCCCACGCCACAAATCTCCATCCACTTGGGAGCGAAATAGTGATCCACCATTTGTTGTTGCGGGTAATCGGGTCTTCCTTCCCCAAATTGTAGAACGCTCCGATGATATCGCCAGCCAAGAGAGTGAACGTCGCCTCTGCGACACTGTTAGGGGTGACTGTCGACGTTAAGACCTTATACGAATCTGTAGAGACATACGTCTTGTACCCTGAGGGACACGAGCCATCGGAAAGCTTGCTTTCGCACGTGGAACCACTGGACTCGCCCGGGTATTCGTTCTGGCACTCTGTAGCCTTACATCGGCAATAGGTTGAAGTATACGGCTCGTAGTATTCACTTCCGCTCCACTGGAACAACAATAATTACAGTTAGCACCAGTACAATAACCAGATTGAAGATAGCAATGTGACGAACCCAGCCCTCGCTTCTCGATTCCGATACACTTGATGAACTATTGCTTGTTGTGAATGAATAGACCTGGACAACGTCGCTCGAGCCGCTGTACGATCCAGGTGAGGTGTCATTTACCGGCGATGCTTCCGTTGACACCGCCGATTCTTCTGATGAGGCAGAGGAGTTGCTTTGTATCTCCGGGGAACGGGTTTCTTCCCTCGCAGCGGAAATGTTCCAGCTTGGCCCTAGCGTCGCATCCAGAATACTAGATCGTTCCTCTGAATGGGAGGACGTAGACTGCTGCGCAGTGGGTGGGCCGGTTTCAGTAGAACCGACAACCACCTGATCATCACCAGATCCTCCAGACACATCCACGCTTAAAGGTGCTGTAGTAATCTGGACATTGGGATCGACAGTTGGAGGACTGGTGTAGACCTGGTCGCTGTTGGAGCCAACATCCGTGTCGAGATGCGTTGAGCTAGCTCCGAAGTGAACACCCTTAGATCCGACCGACACATCGACATCGGAAGAGCTGGTAGTAACGTGGATGCCTTGTGAGCCTACAGACGCGTCGATATTCCTGGAGCTAGCATCGAGATGGACTTCACGAGACCCGACCGTAACGTCAATACCATTCGACCCCACAGTAGTTCCAATGCCGCCAGACTCGAATGGCACATCCAAGTCCTGGGACCCTACCGATACACCCAAATCATGTGATCCCGTTGAAATCTCAAGGCCATCCGACCCCACAGTCGCATCAATGCCACCTGATCCAACTGACACGTCCAGAGCATGGGATCCAACCGAAACAACTAAGCCCTGTGATCCAGTAGAGACATCAAGGCCATTCGAGCCCACAGTAGCGCCAACGCCTCCTGATCCCACTGAAACACCCAGGTCGTGGGACCCTACCGTGACATCCAAACCGTGTGATCCTGTCGATACCTCGAGGCCACTCGACCCCACAGTGGCATCGAAGCCGTCCGATCCTACAGAAACGCCAAGCCCGTACGACCCCGAGCCAACTGTGGCCTCGATGCCTCCTGAGCCCACTGAGATACCTGCTGAGCCTGCCGATACATCAACTCCGCCTGATCCGACAGCGACGTCTACTGAGCCAATGGAGATATCGAGTCCGCCCAAACCGAGCGTAATCCCCACGACAGCGTCCTCGTTCTCCGCCCCTGAGCCTGAAGTCGCACCGCTGACACTTGAAGACTGACTATAGTGGTCTGACTGCGGGAATTCGATCGTTTCTGCACCTCCTGAACTACCCGAACACTCGGACGAGTCGGTCGTGCTCTGTACCTGCAGCAAATGCTCCACTTCCTGCGGTTCATGGACGACGGGGCTTCGACCGTCAACGCCCACGTCTCCTCTGGAGATTGCTCTCATCTGTTCAAGCTCGAGCTTAATGTCGTGCTTTTCTAACGCCGCCAGCGCCGGTACCGAGCCAAACACCTCTGCTTCTGCTCAAATACAAGTCCAAATCGGGAGTCAGAGGTGGTAAGAGATCGTATAACTAGCGGGTGTTACCTTCGACCGCGGCTCCGGTCGGCAGAGTTGACGCGAAGGCGAGTAGCAGCAGCAGCGTGGCTGTGTACATGTGCCCCCCTCCACCTCGCAAAAGTCGACGCTGAGACGCGTAGAACAACGTAGAAAAAAGAACGACGTCAGCACGAGAGTGGAGAAGGCGCCTCTTGAGGTCGATAAGGGTGCCGTTGCGCTACGTACCCGCATTATTAATAGCCGCCGACAATTACAGTGCGCGCTGCTGTCTCGGTTGATTGTGAGGAACCGTAAGGGTTGGGCAGAGCGATGTGACGAGGTCCGCCGCTTGCAATTAAACTGTGCCGCATACTGTAATACATGATGTCTTAAGAAATCGTATTATTTTAATTTTGAAAAACGATTTTTTGTAAAATCGTCTTATTAAAACCAAACGATTTTTAAAATATAATGAACCGATACGTTTTGGAACATTTATTTATAACGTGTCAGAGGCTGAATATTATTCAATGAGATGTTAATTTCGGCCTATTGCAGTAGCGAAAAATTAATATCAAGCCTAAATTAAAAATTGGGAACTCGGACCCACTTTTGATTTGCTGCCACAGGTGGAAAACTTGTATTTTTTCTACCTGTGGCACAACCTGTCAGATTTAAAGACAACGACGGTGAAACTCAACCCCCCGTAGACATGCATTTTCAGGTCATTTTTAGAAAGGCCAACAAGTCGACCCCTTTCGTGGTATTACCTGCGATTAGTCAAAATTAAACCGACCCAACAGTTTATTAAAAGTAGAAAAAAAAATTAAACAAACACCGTAAAAAAGCAAAAACATGTATTATTTTGCTCTACACCATCACGACAGGGTGTTTTGGCATTGCTTTTTCAAAGCTTTGAATAACACATTCCGTAGATATGTTTTCCCACGTTCTAATTGTGCGTGTTACGGCAGCCAGACGCTTTTCCTTCGCGGTTCTTGAAACTGACACCTTCTCTCGTAGCCATTCAGCTGTCAACTTTTTCTTGAGTGGCCCCATAACGCCCACGTCAAGGGGCTGACTCACAGAGGTGCTGTTAGCAGGCACGGGGACCACAATTGCAGAGGTCTCTTCCGCCACAACGCTCTGACCGGCTTCGGAAATATGCAAATCAAAATTGTCCAGCAAGAGGATTGACGGGGCATCAATCTCGTACTTTAGCAAGTTCAAAACGTACGTTTGCCACACTGTGGCGTCCATCCAGCCATTTTCTTGGACGGTGTACACGTGGCCTGCAGGATACGTCGGAAGTTCATCCGTCTCCACAGTCCTGCCCGGCATTCCTCGTAGTATAAACAGTATTGGTAGTTTTTTCCCTAAAAGATAAATAGGTTAGTTTAAACATAATATAATCATTAAATCATTAAACAAAACTTACCATCCGCTCTAATAGTGAGAACTGCAGTGAGTCTACCAGAGTTTTTCTGCGTGTGCTTCACTTTAGCGGAGCCACGACGGCCTTTGAGGGCCCAAATCTTGTGGGGTGGGGTGTCAAATATATTGCTGTCTCGTCGACATTGTATATGGCGGATTGCTGGAAGTGAGAATGCTGTTTCCAAAACGCTATGGCAAAGTTCAATTGGATTTCTTGTAGTGCATCTTCATCCTTTTTAGTAAATTGCGGTTTCTGAACAGAAAAACCATGGCTATAACATTAAGAAAAATATGTAAGCAATAAATATTGATTAAAAACACAAATGAAATAGGATAAATTGCTAAAACGTTTGATTAAACCAGCATATTGGAAAACGAGATGCTTACCGAGCTGCAAACCGCTGGCACATACGCATCAACGCGCTCAATGCGCGCTCAGGAGATGATTTATCGGCTAAATACTGCTCCAGCCAAGCCCCCTGCTCCATCTTCATATACTCGATCATGCCTCCAGTACACAAATACTATATATACACGTTAGAATCTGCAATAAATAATATAACAAAACAAATTTACCTTTTCATCCCGACGGACGTCTTTCATGAAGGTGACCAATTCGTGCTTAAATGTGATTTTAGTCTTTGCGCCTTGTCCTTTTGTCGTTCTGCTAGTTTGAGGTCCCTTAAACTCAAACAGCAGTTTTGCCTTCTTTCTCCAGCCCTTCAACGTACCTAATGAAATATTAAGCGCCCGAGCGGTAGGCTTACATCCCTCCAGAGCTACCCGCTCGAGCGCTTCCCGTCTCTGCTTGACGGTGTAGCTGTTCTGCCGACGACGTTCGTCCATCACTTCGCAGAAACAGCAATAGCGTGATTGTTTAAACGTCGCCAGCATGGCGTGCTGTCCAGCAATATATTTGAAAGTATATTATTGGCTAAAATTACAAATAACATTTTTACTTGAGTTTAAAGTTGCACTGTAAGGGGGGTCGAGTTTTTGTGGGGGGTTGAGTTTCACCGTCGTTGTCTGTGTATGCCACTTCACGCCACAGGCGGAGAAGTTATTTAGGACAGGATACATTACGGAGCCCTATATCATCTGTGGCTGGGAAGAGCCAACAGCCGGAAGGGCATTTGCAAAGGGAGTACAACAGACCGATGTGCCCGCACCATCAACTGCTATGGATGAATATAATCAGTTATCCGACCTCACTTAATTTTTTGTATGGGGCATGGGGGCTCATTATCGACCAATTAGCAATTTGTTATTAGCTCGACCCAATCGAAATTCTTCAATCTTTTATTTTAAGCCAATCAGAATGTGGAAGATGTGGTCTCTACGCCAGCCATTCTGACGTATCGGGTCGGAGGCGGACGAAGAATATGTGTATCCGTCTACAAACTCCAAGTGAAAGGCATATCACTTGCATATTTGCAGCCCATCCGTCTTATCCGACCAGGATGGGCTTAGACGAGCTAAAACCTGGCAACACCAAGCGTGCCAAGGAAACAGCCATCAAGGTGTTTAAGACGTTCGTAAAGAGCGAAGATGCTGAGTTTGACTATGTTAAGCAATGCATTGAACAGGATGGTACAGGTAATTATTTGGTGTATGTGCTAAATAAGTATGGCATGTATCTTGCATTTAACGAGGGCAAGAAGGGCAAACCACTTGCCCGGAACACCTCCATGCAGTACTACCGACAGAGTAAGATGTGGCTTTTTGAGCTCTTCCCCGTGCAACGGCACATTGTCACTCAAAAAGTCGCTTAGCATGGGGAAGACGCTCGAACGCTTTTGCATAAAGCGAGACGGAAAGGTGGTTAACAAAGCACCACCATGCTCAAAGCGTGACTTAAAAAAATGATGCTGTATTTGTATGAGAGTGCATGTTCCCCTAGCGACTACCAAGATGCTGCCTTACTGTGTCTGATGTGGCACCTGTTCGGCCGTGCTTCCGATCTGTCGCTTGTGCACAAGCCAAACCTGTCCGTCGATGCGGCCGACGTGTTCTCTTCGTACGCTTCATCCGAATGAAAACGTCCGAAGAGCAGGGGCTCTCGCTCTTCCCGGACACCGACTTCGTCACGTGCCCGCTTCACGCGATTGCCATGGCCCTGATCACGCAGTCCGCACCAACCCCGGCCTTGATCGACAACTTGACGGAGATCCCGATCGAGGCCGCTGTTAGCCTGTCGCCGGCGACGCCACTGCTTGAGGTCCTGAACCACCCAAGTGAATTCGCCGCGCTTGACACTACCGCCACGCGCGCCAATTGCTCGACGAAGCCCGCCGCAGCTGTGCCGACGATCTACACCCACGTCAATCGCCTGCTTGATCGCGTAGCCTCTGCCGCTGGGGTGACTGAGCCACTGACATCCCATTCCTTTCGGCGCGGTGTGGCGCAGCACGTCAGCGGCTGCGACGGACTCACGGAGCGCTGGATCTTCGACCGCGGCGCCTGGAACATGTCAACGACAAACAAGGGGTTTGATTACATCTTCAACACGAGCAGACAGGACCACATGATAGGCAAGGCGCTTAGTGGTTTTGCCACGGGCGCGGACGTGGAGCTGCTGGACTTGGACGCGTTTGACGCCGAGACGCGGCTGAAGATTGCAGGTGTACAGCGGCTTCTGTTTGCAACATGCTACAAAATGAACAGCTCCAAGTACAACATCAGTCCCAAAGTGGCGGATGTTCTCACAGCGTACCTCGTGCTGCACTACCCACTGCTGAAAACGCTTTGCTCCGGTGGGCTTGCAGTCAGGCGTGGAGACGGCTGTTGTCCACGCAGGGGCTGCGATTGCAGATCTTCTGGCATGGCCGTCACACCTCGCCACCTACAAGAAACCCGCGCCAACACCACGCAAAGAACCACCCACGCCAATGCACAAGGAAACAAGCAACGAATCCAAGATAATCGATCACCAACGGAGTGTGATTAACCAGTTAATGTTGCACATCAAGCGCCAAGATGATCGCATGGATGTCATAGAGGCTAAGCAAGAAGGAGGTACAACACAAGACACGAACAAGAAGCGTCAGCAAGAGCTAAGCCAAGTACGAGAGAAAACCAAGCGCAGACGGACATCAGTGACTCACCTTCACGTAACATGGTTTGCGTGGTACGCACAGGAGCCCTTCGGACTGGCTGATGCTCCCAAACGCCAGCGCTCGAACGCGAAACAGCTCGTGGCCTTCATGAAGCTGCTCATAGCTGACGACTTAAAGCTGGACCCAAGCGCTGTCAATTACCGTGACCAGGTCCTCGCGCTTGGCAAGCAAGCTGAAGCAGCGGTGCTGGCATTTATCGGCAGGCTTGATATCAAGTCGCGCGGTTCCACGGCAGTTCCCAAGCATCTCCACGACCTATATCAGCGAGGCGCCCTCAACGACAAGATCACGCATCTCCAGCAGCTGCGCAGTGCTGCTGCCGTCCAAGACCCCGATCGTCAGAATGGACTTGAGCTTGTAGCTAGTACGTAGACACTCGCACAAAACAAAACGACGAAGATAAGAGCGAAATACACGTGTATGCTAGCAAGTTATTAGTCATCGAAATCATGGCATTAACAACGCGCACAAGACACGCTAGATCCCTACAAAGCACGCAGCAGCATTGGCACGCCGTACACGATCCATGGCTGCAGCACGCGGCGCGCTTCCACCTCTGGGATGATGA